GTAGTTAGCTCGTATCTGCTCTTCCAGAACGTATACACCACCTTCAAGGCACTCAGGCCTGCTAAGCCATCTCGAAGGTCAAAGAATGGTGTCGACCCCACTGTCAAGGCCAAGCAAGCGCGAAAGCGCGAGCTCAAGGGGATGCTCGCGTGCTGGATTGTCTGGGTGTGTACTCTGAATAATTTATTCTGCCTTTTGCTCACCATTCTCTAGTCTTGCTGGACAAGTGCCGAGGCAATCGCAGACCGTACCATCTCTGTTCTCACCCCCTTTTACAACGAGATCAAGATGTTCCTCGTTCTCTTCCTTATCGTAGGTCGTGCCACGGTATGTCTACATCCTCCGTCAATAATGTCAAGATATATATGACACCTTGCATAGATGGCCGAGGCGATTCTTCTCCACGTTATCCGGCCCATCGTCAAGCCATATTACGTTTCACTCGACTCATGCGTCGAAGTTTTCACATCTGCGGCAGACTTTGCTGTATTGCTTTTTACGGCGCCCCTCGTCTGGCTAAAGCTTGTTACTCATCAAGCGTGGGCCTTTTTACAAAAGACCTTCTCCGGTTCTCTCCCTCGTCCAGGTGGCCACACCGCGTCTGCTTCTGACCCTGACGAGGCCCTGAACGAGCCAGAGGCCACGTCGACCAAGGCTGAGGAGAAACCCGATCCGCGCCAGCGCTTCATTCCCAAGACTCGCGCCTATGCTCAGCAGGAGTCCGACGCCGAGGATGTTTTCTACGGGAATCGACGCGACGATCCTCCTCCGTATGGCTTGCCGATGGGCATATCAGATCCTCTGGAACGCGACTATCCCCCAGTGTTCACTCGTCACGGTACCTCTCGTTCGCGCCCAGAGGCTGCGCAGGGCGGCCGTTCGTATGGGATCGATCACCATCCATACGGCGGAGATTCCTCAAGCGTCACGTCTGTCTCCTATCGACAGGAGTCTGAGGTCGGGGGTCCTACATATGGCTTCTCCCCTGATGCACAGGTCGTGACTAATGGGGCAGGCGATCTTGTTCCTGATACTAATCCGGACATCCCATCCTTCGTGCTCCCTTCACCTGAGCAGCCTCCCACCTCAGTACCGGCTGCTCCCGCGGTTCCTTCATATTTGCAGCCCCGTACGCGTGCTAGCCGAGCGAACCTCAACCCGAGTCGGCAACGCGTGGATAGCTATGTAGATCGACCGAACCCTCGTGCTTCCAAGTTTATGGAAGGGGAACGTGGCATGACGTTCGCAGACAAACCCAAGGAAGCCAAAGGCTTCACGCCTGAGGTCGGAGGTTATACATCGCCTCCTGCTAATTCGCCGCCTACGGGCCCGACGCCCCCTTACAGCAATCCTTATGGTACTCGTGGACGCACTGGATACCCTCCAAGGGCATACACGCCAGCCGAGGAGTCGGATGGCGGGAGCCGATCCGATGCTATTCAAGGCTGGCGCCAGCGTTCCGCAATCCCCCCTGACTCCAAGCATAAGCGGGCACCCAGCGCCGGTCCGGGCGGAAGCTCGTACCCCTATCAAGCAGCTTCAACACCTTATTCCCCACAGGCGCCCAGCGCCGTGCTTTCATTCCCATCGCCTCAGATTCCTCCAGCGTTTCCCGCGCCATCCATAGCACCTTCGCTCACGCCTTCCCAAAGCGTGTCAAACGTCTTCCCTCGCCCCCAGCCCGGGTACCGCCCGCCGTCGGTAGGACCAGAGGGTCGTCCACCAACCGCTGTCTCAAGACCTCCTACGACCACCCCCAGCCATCCTCCGACTTCTACAACAGGGATGGGCCTTCCTCGCAGGCAACGCTCTACACGCGAGCTGCGTGCTCAGGTGTGGGACCCCAAGGAAGACAACAGCGCTGCCGAGGCTGACCGTTTGCGCGAGGAAGAACGGCTCGCGATCGAGAAGAAAGAGGCTGAGCGAGTAGCTGCCCTTGAGAGGCAACGAAGAAAGGTATCTGGTCGGCAGAATGCTGGAGACGCTCAGTCGACGAGGACACGTGGGGCGCGGGCGAGGGCTGGAACGGATACAGAGGGGGAGGGATTTTAAGGGGTCGCGTGGCAGCGGTGCGACTGCGTGACCGGCAAAGGGGACGCGCCTTGAGAGGAGTGGAACGTGAAAAAAATGGGAGTAATGTGGGAGTAGAGGAGGCAGGGAAAGGTGAAGAGGAGGTAGAAGAGAGGCGGAAGGAGGGAGCTGCGGTTGATGACGACGGAGAATACACGGAGAGCCCAAGCAAGAGGCGACGCGTGGACGCTGGAGGAAAGTTTGTTTCTGCTGGTTCACAGGAGGGTACTCCTCGACGCAGGCCAGCCCGAACGCGCCTGCCTGTTGCTTCTGGTTCATCTGGAGCAGCGCCTAAAGTGGTACCTGCGAAGCGGCCTGCAAAGCCGGCTCCAGCACCAAGATCTAGACTTGCAGGTTCCAGCGCCAAGACTCGTTCCTCCCTTCGATCATCGACCAAAGCCGCTACCACTACTCGTTCGACTAACCATGCCCCCAAAGCTCCCATGACAACACAAACGACTAGATATGCTGAAACTGTTTTCAAGACCACGAACCCTTGAACGTGCCATGTTATGACGTCGATATCTTTGTTTTACTTTCATTCACTGTGTTATCTTATATTCTCTCATTTTGGGTTGTACTTTACTTATATTAGATCCTGGTGATGTGATTTTTAAATTTACTGAGTGTTATACTTCGTGAAAAACGCTCTCTGGAATGGCGACATTGCCTTCGAATAGCAACCTAGCCGTTCTTGTGTAGACGATCGCCTCTGGCCGTACGACTCCATCGACTTGACCTACTTTTACGCTTGCGCTCGCCGTCCCAGCAGGATGCGCAACAGTCAACGAAACGACGTCTCCTACATCAGCAGTCTTGGCATGAGCGTGAGAACTAGATACGGACTGGACAATCGTGCCCTGTATAGCTGCAGCAGACGCCAAGGCGGACAAGGTTGTAGCAGGGACTGTCCTGTGAATGTTCCCTACGCTAACTGCTCGAATGTCCAAGTTGGCCCCTTTCAAAGACGGTGGGCCGACGAGGCATACTTTGGGTGCGGCGCTCGAGAGGGGTATATGCGCATGAGCGGCTCCTGCAACTCGGACGCGTTCAATTAGGGACATGAGCGAAGCGTCTGCGTCGAGAGCGGCGGGAGAAGATGATACAGTATGGGAAGAGGATGCAAGAGTGAATAGGCGTGCTGCTGGAACAAAGATGACGGGGAGGCCGGTGTCGACAATGGAGCATTCAATCTATAGATAGTGTTGGCGCATGCTGGGTAGAATAGTTGCTTCTTACCTCATTTCCATCGACGGAGATCGTGTCTCGCGGGTTCCCAGTGCGTAAAGGTGCGTTCAGAATAGGTGTTTCGATAACTATCGGGGCACCTGTACCTGGAACACCAGATATAACAGCGTCGCCGCCTATGACGGGTACGAGGGCCGGTTGCGTACGCGATGGATCCAGCATGACTGGGACGTTGGCCGTGACAACTAGACCGTTGTTTGCCGCGAGGATTCGGACGGGAAGAGTGGTTGGTTGTGGGTTCGGACCTTGAGCGACGAGTGAGGAGAGTACAGATTTGTTTTGGAATAGGTTCCAGTTTATTGCAGTCTAGACAGAGGTTAGTTTACAGTGTGAGGAGAAAGAAACGGCATACCATTGCAGCTGCAGATACCAAGTTGCCGCAAGTAGATCCCCAATCCAACTCTGGTTCACGCACTCCAACCTGACCAGATGTTAAAACGGTTTTGACCATGAGCATACACTCACCTGACAGAACCGATACACAATATCCCACCCATTCTTTTCGTCTTGCGCTTTTGCTAGATCGTTTGCCCACGAAGCACCTGGGAAAGCGTTTGGCGAGTCCGCCGCGGGGTGATCTGGACTTGGTGCGTGAAGGACGGCTGCTTTGGACAGAGAGGAGATCCCTCCTCCCATCCTATGCGTGTATCAGCCCCCACGCATATCACAACGACTAGAAGGACTAACCCATCTATCTGACGCCCGTCTGGATCGGGACTACCTTTCATCAAGGCCACGCGTAAGTCGAAAATAACTTGGATGGTGTAATGCCTCACCCATGGCAGCCAGTATAATACGATTCCTGGTCGCTTGGGATATCTTTGTGAATGCATGGGCTTGGAGAAATAATCCCTTGCTGCAAAACAATTGTTATCTTGCACGGCATGGCTGAGGACAGGTCGCACCTCGTTCCTCCCCGGCAAAAGTGAGCCGGTAAGAGCCGCTGCATGGTGGTCGCTCACTTGAGATCATCAAGATCTACGATTGGCACTTTGAACAAATTCACCGATGGTCGGAAAGAAGCGCCGACAAGCCAGAGGTGGTTGATTTAGTGCTTTTTTCATTAGCCTTTTGTATCGTATTGAGCCCACTGTTCACAAAACAAGATGCGTGAGATCACGTGATTGCCCTCCATGTACAAACTGCCGTCGTGAATGAGTTACCAAGCGCACTGCGAGCACTCCAGCCACGCATATATTCGCCGATTCACTGGGGATGGTACAAAATACGCTACATGTCATGCCTGATTAAGCTTGATTAGTAGATCGAGCAAGCTCATATCGCTAACGGTATGGGCTGTCTGTCAAACACCAGATGAGAGGATGGCCATTTTCATAAAACCAACTTGGTAAAACTTGTTCTATTGTATTCTGTTGGGTCTAAGACACTGGAGAATGGGCAAATGGGTATCTTCTGCTGAGGTAAACTAGTGTTTCAAACAAACCCATCAAAAATGGGTTCAGCTGTGGAACACCCTGTTTTCCACCCACCTCAAAGGCACTTGTGCACCTGTAGAAGATAACGGAGCATGCTGTGCTTCGCCTAGTATAGAAAGCTGCTACAAATCACTTCTCTACGGTGGCTCAAAGTGCTTGGGGTTGGCTGCATGATTGGGGCTTCAAGCAAACACCACCTCGAAATCTCGGTGGTTGTTCCAGCTCAAAAAAACTGTATAAAAAGCAAGGCCTCGCCCGGGCTCGAACCGGGGTTACCGGAAGGCGATTTCGGTGCATTTATACAGCATGAATCAGAATCCGAGGTGATAACCACTACACTACGAAGCCTTGTGTTCATCTCACTTGCGCTAGCATATAACCAGCTCACGTAACGTTTTTAGTTGCGAGACTACTGAAATTGCGATAGGGCTGGCCAGGGCAACGCTGCAAGTTTAGTTTGAAGCTACAGTATTAGTCGAGGTTGTGACCTTACTTCAATTTCCACATATTCTGACCTTCCCTGTTCCATATACACCAGCGCGCGAATACACGACTTGCGAGCTCTGCAAGCACGCCCCGCATAGCGCACTGGGGCTCGTGGCTATGTCACTGCATCGGTTAGACCAGCACAAGTATTACATGGCTTCAGTATATGTATGGGTGGCCCGACAGCGCCCGGCCTTTCAAGTACCTCCCTAGCTGTTTCTCACGAACCCCGCCCCCAGTTTCCCAGCCAGCAGCACCTTCCACAAAGCTCAAATATAATGTCTTCATGCACGCTTCTATTTATACATTCATGATGGCCACACCATCTGTCCAATTTCCACACGCATATACCCACACATACTCAAGTTTCGCTTACCAACAGGTACTTAAGGAGAATGAGCATTATTGACACCACTCCCCACTTTTGCACTCTGTACACTCATTACATTCAGCTATATACATCACCCCAAGCCACTTTCCTGTCCCGAAGGTGACTCGGCCGCTCCAGCGCTTAGTTTAGCCGTTGGAAGCCTCCGTTGTGACTCAGCTATTTCCACATCCCGCTTGCTTTAATATTTAAACTCAATTGATATATCCCTACAGAGATGTAGCCTTTCGTGTGTTTAGGTAGGGCGAGCGAACACATTTGTTTCCTGGAAGTATGCCGCAGTTTTCGTAGGCGTGCATCCAGTGGCAACTCGTACAATCATACGTAAACTAATTTTCTCGCTTGTTTGTTTGGTTTAGACCCTGAGTGACGCGCGATTGCAATGAGGCTACAGCCCCTGTCTCAAATTGGCCCGCAGCCCGCCTAGACTCCCGTTCGTCCTCGTGAACGGTTAGACGGGCCCAATACTTCAGTTGATTTTTGGCGCAAGTCATCTAGATAGTTGGGTTAGTTGGTCTTTTTATCTTTATTTTTATGACGCTGAGACACTTTCTGTTTCCGGATATCTTTCCCCACACGCTTTTGATGGCATTCAACTTCGACTCGGCATCCACAGCACTCGTTCAGCCCACATTGCGCACCCTCTCTCTCCTGCTGAACCTAAAACAATATGGTTTGTAGACGCGTCTAGTACGCGACATATCGTTGACATGTAGCGCCAGCCTAGGTCACCTGCCTCCTCGTCACCCAACTCTCCGAGTTCACCAATAGCGCGTCAGCCACTTCCCGGATATAGGGCGGCCATACCGTCGTCAGACCCCTCGTCCCAGTACACGCTCCAGGAGAAACTTGGTACTGGGAGCTTTGGCACGGTGTACAAGGCGTGAGTAACATTCTTATAGTACTAGTAACCTTTAATGTTGGTATGTTCAGAACGGACAAGAACGGCCACATAGTAGCAATCAAACAGATAGACCTAGAGGACACCGATGACGATATTTCCGAAATTCAACAGGAGATCTCTCACCTCGCTCAATGCGATTCCGACTATGTCACCCGCTACTATGGCTCGTTTGTTCGAGGATACAAGCTCTGGATCATCATGGAATACCTTGCCGGCGGCTCTTGCCTCGACCTCCTCAAGCCGGGCGTCTTTCCGGAAGCACAGATAGCAGTATTGCTTCGGGAACTGCTGCTCGGCTTGGAGTACCTACACACTGAAGGGAAAATCCACCGCGACATTAAAGCAGCAAATATTCTTCTGTCTGCGACAGGAAAGGTCAAACTAGGTGAGTACCGCGCGTATGTTTTGACGCGTAACTGAAAGATATGCAGCCGATTTTGGTGTTGCTGCCCAACTGAGCTCGACGTTGAGACATACCTTCGTGGGAACACCCTTCTGGATGGCGCCCGAGGTTATCCGACAGGCGGGTTACGATGCCAAGGCGGATATCTGGTCTCTAGGCATTACTGCGATCGAAATGGCAATGGGCGAGCCACCGTTAGCCGAGTATCACCCTATGCGCGTACTATTTTTGATTCCAAAGGCGAAACCGCCGGTGCTCGAGGGAGCCTTCAGCTCCGCGTTCAAAGACTTTGTATCTTTGTGTCTGACCAAGGATCCCAAACTTGTGAGTTTCATGCCGACTACCTTTAACACGTGTATTTACCGCTCTGTAGCGCCCAACCGCCAAGGAGCTTCTCCAGCATCGATTCATCAAAGGCGCTCGTCGTGGTACCAGTTCGTTGACCGAACTCATTGAACGGTATCAAGAGCACCGGACTCGAGCACAACCTCGCGCCGCAAACACCAACAATGCCACAATTCGTCAGTCTGTCTATGACACTTACTCTGGCGGGGCAGGTGGTACGATGCGAAGCGAGTGGATATTTGAAACAGTACGGAGCAATGCGTCTGGTAGTGGATACGGTAGCGTCCGAGATATTCTCTACGAGATGGAGGGGGAGGACCAGGAGGCGAAGTACGGAGATACGGATACTTATAGTACTGCGGAGGCCGTCCATGGATCTGTTCTCGATAGCGAGCCGCAGCCTCAAGAAATAGACGAGACTGAACCTATAAAGGTATGCTTGCCTGCTGCGGCTGCATGCACCCAATAGTGCCGTTTCGGGTTGAACGCTTACATGAACCTATTTCATCATCATAGACACCTACAGTTTCGCCCCCTGACTCTCTTTCAACACCACGCGGCTCCGTACCGAGCACGTTAAATGACGCGCCCCCGTCACCGACCTCGCCTAAATCTCCAAGACGGCTGAGCTACGCTGAACGCAATAGTCTCAATGGAGCGGTAGTTCGGGAGGGTGATGTTGGTAATGGGTAAGTATATACCCTTGGTCTTAGGCTCAACTAATATTCCTTGTCAGTATGAATACGATGAGGCCAGTCAAGCGAGTCGACGCAGCAGGCTCCTTGCGTCTGTCCCACGAATACGTAGGGAGCACCCGGAGCCGTGGATCTGGCGACAGCGGCGAAGGAAGCAACGAGAGCGGTCTAGCGGAAAGCATCATCTCGAACAACGAAAGCAAGACCCCCGCAAAGCGCAAAAAGAGCGTTAGCGAGAACGCCAAGGCGGGCAAGGCGCTCATAGAGGAGGTGGCGATCCCGGTCCTGCAACGGGTACGCGCCATCATTTCAGTTTCGGGATATAGATCTGATTGCGAAAGCAGCATATACATGACGATATGGATGCTCGCGAAATTGAAAGTATGAGCATGCTTGCACGAGGATTTACGGACCTCAAAGACGCGAACCCGGAGCTCGCCTATAATGTTCTCCTGGATATGCTATCAGGAATTAATGAGTAGGTGATTACGGATCAATAACCTTGCACCGGGCTAATGTATTTCTCAGAAACAATGCCCTACGCCAGCATATATCAACAAAGCGAGGCATGTTCCCGCATAAGCGCATACAGCGTGCAACAGAGGTGACAGCAGACGGACTTGTTGTTACTGAACAAGCAGAAGAGGTGGGCAGCCGGTCGACAGAAAGCTTGAATGCCCAGAAGAAGAGTCCGATTGCCGAACTCCTCTATCTCCGCTGGCTGGAAGGACTGAAAGTCAAGGTTTTTGGATAGAGGCTATCGGGTTTTGGTTTCACTTTATTTCCGTGTCTCGTTTTACTTCTCATCTATGCTTCCCTTGGCGATGAATAGCTTACACTGAACTTTGGATTATACTTCTGATTTCCGTTTTGGCTGGTTTCTTTTTGGCACAATTACATTTTGGTACTGAACGTTTCTGTTTTCTCCTGTTTACGCGTACATTTACAGTCGCACATATGTGTTCGATTTAACTATTTGAAACCTAAACTTTGAACATCTTAGTTTGCAAGCCGAATATGGGTGGGTGGCTGAGTTCAAAGACGAGCTCAACTGGCTCACGGATGACATAGTCGACATAGACGAATGGACGTGCGGAAAGCATACAAATATATTGGGCTGCAACAACGTCCCACCCACGCCCCATCGATCATCAAGGCTTAGTACAAGCGTCTCCCTCAACATTTCACGACACAGCTCACGCCTTGACTGCGTACTTTCGGATGGGGAAATGCTGATCCTTCTTCTTTTGTTTGACCGTCTTGCGTGCGGCGTCGGTCTGTAGTGTGCAATTTCTCCGGCATAAACACCCAGAATAGTGAATTGAGGACGGAACTAACACGAACCTTGGACAGTCTCCTTCGAATCGCACGAGTCTTCTTGGGGCGGAGGTCAAGAGGGATATATTTCTTCTTCTTGTAATGCTCGCGCAGACTTTGCCTCGTCTTTTGGTTGGTGACTGTCAAGACACGAGCAATGGATTTGCGGATAGTGTTGCTGGTTGCGTAACAATTAAATATGAGCTGATCGTACAGACCGGACAAAGACTTACATCTTGGTCAACTTGGACGAGGAGGCGCTCGCAATCTTTTGTACGCGCAGGCTCAGAAGCTCACCCTTGAGCTCGCCCAGTTGCTTCTGCAAGTCCCCCTTGGACCTAGACGCAACGACATTTAGCGTCGATTCTCTATCGTCGTTAGTTGTACTCACTTGGACTGGAGCTCGTATGCCTTAACCTTTCCCTGTGCCATTTTGATGTGCTATGAGAGCTTGAGTGTTAGTAAACAAGTAGGCAACATAATGACATAGGTTCACACTTACAGGTTATATTGAGGATTGTTGAAAGGGTCGTCGGAAGCAGAATACCGGAACCGGCGCGGATGTGGCAAATGGAGCTGTACAGCTCAAGTATATACCATATATGGTAGTTGTACTTAATCGCTTCGGCTACTACTATACACTGCCTTAGCTCGCACGACACGCTAATATCAATTGATGCACCTATCCTTCTAGCAATATTCTTAGAAAAACACGAGTCCGATGTCGCACATACCTAATCTTATTTATAGCTGTTTATTGAATCACGTGGAGAAGTCGCGTGTTGCTTCAACTTGAACTTAGCCACGTCG